CACGCCGACCTGCTGTCAGTTTTTGAGACCTGATCATGTCTTTCCGAAATTCCCCAACTTTTCCAAAAAGTTCCGAATCGCCCGACTTTTTAAAATTTTCCAGGCTGGTAGACACTGTGCATTGGTAGCGCTAAATGCATTTCGTCCCTTCAAAAAGAACCTGATGGGCGCGCCAGTATGCACGCTGTTATAAAAGCAGCGTTCCTCACAAACCAAGGCCGATAAAAAAAATACTCCTTGTCACAAACGCCAGTGAACGTGCAGTGTAAAAGTAGGTTCCTGAACATCAAATAAATGGCGAGGTGGCGTTCCTGAAGAGGTGTTGGCAGGGCACAAAATCGGCAACGTAGCTGAGCCGACGCCAAAGAGACGACGAGCAGACGACGCGACGCGGATGAACCAAACGTCTCGAAGAAGCTTTTGCCTTTCTCGTAGCCTAATAAGCCCTCCAGCTTTCACTGTGCTGAGAGGTATTACTGAGATGGAGCAATGCGTGGCATTTCCACGAAATTTTCTGTGCAGTAGTCCCGCTCTGTTAGTCGTTGCTAAGGCTGCACGAATCCTTGAGTAAATTCAAGTGCCAGCTTCGCACGCGATACCTCAGCTGTCACGTAGTGCAATAAAACAAGGGAATAAATTTTTAAATTCTCGCGGTCCGCGACGCTTTTTGCCAGTCATGCGGGGCCGCTTCTTCCTTAGTGTTCCTGTTTATGAACTGCAGTACATCAAAAAACAGCAGCAACGTACGAAGGCAAAATTTTTTATCTGTGTTTCCGCCAACGATATGTATACTAGAGACTCGAGACCACTTTGCCGGCTTCCACTCAGTTCGGTCAGTACTGTAAAAATATCAGTGAACTTGCGCGGAGTGTAACTTCACAGCAAACTTGCTACAGCATGTACTTCAAAAATGTGCCAGCAGAATCATCTGCTTTACACGACGTATTAAACCAGCATTCCCGCCAGTTTCTGCACCATGGTCACAGGGTAAAACTGATAAACATTGTTCCATGGGCATAGTTATTACAGTCATTGGCACAGTTCACGAGAGAGCAATTCACACGCAATATTCCAAAGCACCGCGAAGAACCTGACACTGCTCTGCTTATGGGTGCGCTGCTGCACGGAGCACGCCAGTCGCTTTCGTTCACAGCCACACCGCGAAGCCACAGGCTCAGTGCACGTTTCCTAGAGAATATAAAATTTATGTGTCGAGAATAACCAGCGGCTAGGTCCTTCAGACACTGCAGGTTAGCATGCTGATAACTAGATTGCCCCGAACATCCAATAAAAGCTTAATTTCAGTATACAATTAGTGCAAGGAACATTTCCACTAAAAACTCACTAAGGGAGGCAGGTAAACCAGTGACCAAAACAGTCAACAAAAAGCTTGACATATGGGCATTTTCGGCAAGCAACACAGCCTGCTACCATACTGTAATTCTTGTCACTTATACTGTTAATTTTACCTAAGTCCACCACCAGCAGATTCCTGGAAAGTGCTGTAATGCCCCTAGTATACAACTTGCCAACTACTGTCACAAAAGTACAATTAAAACAAAGATAAGCAAAAAAGTATGTTTATTCTAGCAGTTTCACAACAGGCAGTGTCTGCAGTGCCTTGACACTCGGCCACTTCTGGACAAAAACAGCAATAAATAAGGCAAACTAGAAAAAAAAGCACATAGCCCAGCCAGTCCCCCAACCACAAGAATCAAACACATTTACTTTGTACTCTCTGCAGTTCTCCACCCATGACTTGGCTCTCCCAGCTTATTTTGGAACTACTGACACAGCAAAGAACAGTATAGCAAAACAACCAACAAGGATTCCCAAAGTACAAACAGTTCAGCACATGACAAAATTGAACAAACTAAAGCCATGAACTAGAGTAACATGTGACACTTCGAGGCCATCAGTCATTACGTCGTGTTATGTGCAACTTATAAAAACAAGGTTTAGCCACTGTTTGTGGCTACAATACCTTATTAAAACATACCAAGAACAGAAAACATGCAATGATCTTACCAGTGAATACTGCTGTAGTAAGTTTAATATAATAGCAACTATTGCTTATAATTTGCCACGTGGAATGTCAATTTATGTGCAATAGTTATTCACAATGGTGCCTAGCTTATTGCATTGAAGCAGGTTACTACCAACCTGCCAAATTTGTTTCAGCCAATGTGTGCAAAGACTTTGCAGGTTGGGGCTCTATATCGATGAGTACATAAAATAAGCAGCAACAATGAAAACATTTAAGCTAATTTTAGCACCTACATAACCAATCATAACCTGTTTGTTTCACCATTCTATACAACGATGATGTGTGTTAATCAAATGTATATGCTTCTCTTTCAACGTCACAGACAAAATTTTCATGATAACTATATACCGTGCCCTAAACTCACCTTATGACAGAGCAACATCATCACCACTACAAATCTGGCCTCAGAATATGGAAGCCTTGGACAACAATTCTTGCATTACAGTACAGTTTTAAGCAGCATCTGACAAATCATGTATGTTTTTACCATGTTTAAAAGGAGGAAGAATACACAATTGGCTCTATATGAAACAGCAAAACATGAAGCCATTAAAAAACTACAATCTACAAAACCTCTGAATGACAGTGCAGACAAACAAACAATCGTTCAAATGAATGTGACAGCACGATTTTTTTACAATGGCTTTACATTTACAAACCCACAAGGCTTCTCTACTTTCAAGTCGAACATTTCAAAATACAGAACTCTTTTAGGCACTGCTGTGTTCATCTTTTAAATTATTTTCTTACAAATAGCTCACAGTTTAAAAATAAAAACCCTAAATAGGCCCATTAAAATGTACACCTCACCCACAGTGACCCTTCCAGAATAATGACATGCATTAAAAAAGGTGGCCACCCCTTATTATATGCAAGGTGAAAAGAAGCTCAAGCAGTGACAGAGAAAAAAAATGCTGCTTTCATAGCAACCAATCGAATAGTAATGAGTGGCATAGCTTGTGTTAACTAGTGTTTATAGGAGAACAAGCAACAGTGAGCAATTTCAGCAGTATAAAGAAAAAATCAACCAGCTGCCTTCAAACACCTGCTCTTCCAAGAAGATCATGCTACACAAAAAAGAAGCAGAAACACGAATCATACCACAGGATGCTTCACAAAATGACCTTGTTACTCTTGTTTCCAGTTACTCTTGCAAGATGAATGTTTGGTTCCCAAAATATTGCATGAGAATAGTAGTAATTTACAATACCAAATGTAATGCACTGTACAACATAGCACCTGTCACCAGTATGCATATTGTTAGATAAACCGATCCAACAAGAACAAACAGAAACTTTTTCTTTCTACATACATGTTTTCTACAATGCATTGTACCTCCACAGGAGGCACAATGCATCAAAACATCCAGCCTGTAAAATGCCAAAAGCACCTCAGTACCAGGCTGCCAGAGTGAAAGTACACATGTGATTAAAGCAAAAAAGCACTACAGGTAACCAAAACTGGAACTACTATTGTTCACTCTTTAAGGGCTTGGAAGAATGGTGACATTTTTCAAACAGGCCTACTTGGAAACGCACACTGCAGTTGAAAACAAAATACACAAGAAAATAATTAGCATAAAATGGTACATAGTAGTATTTAGAGCACGTAAACAGACAAGAAATGAAAGAGTTACACAGACGAGCGCTCACTTCAAACTAAAGTTTATTCACAGAAAAGACCAGGTTTTATTCTACACCGAACACGCATGAATGAAACTACAATAAAAAAAAAAAAAGAGGAGGACAACTATCACCTATGAGTTAAAAAAAGCGAAGAAAAAAAAGAACCCCAGGTGCCTCCTACACATGAAGACATCATACAGAAAATCAAACAACTGAGGTCAAAGACCACACGTGTCATGGCAAGCCAGCAAGTGGCTATTGCTGGCCTGTCTTCGACGCTGAGAACAGCCAGCGATATCCACTTCCTCGCTTGCCATGACATGTGTGGTCTGTGACTGATCTTTTGTATGATGTCTTTATGTGTAAGAGGCACCTGGTTTTTTTTTTTTTTTTTTTAGTTTTTGAACTCCGAGGTGATAGCTGTCCCGTTTTTTTTTTTTTTAGATTGTAGTTCCACGCAGGCGTGTTCAGCGTAGGATAAAACCTGGCCTTTTCTGTGATTAAACTTTAGTTGGAAGTGAGCCCTCGTCTGTGTAACTCTGTCTTTCATTTCTTCTTTGTTTACATGCTCTAAGTATATACTCGCCCCTATTTCAGTGCTTTTTAAACCTGATCGAATGCTAAGCACGGCATTCGAAACATGTGGTAGATTTTGATTGACAAATGGAAAAATTTCTAGCTCCTTACAGCAAGCTTCTACACTTTTTATTTTCGTACAAAGCACATGCCCCAACATTGGAGGCCAACACCAATCCTACAAATTAAGAAGTAACAAGACAGAACAATTGCAAAAGCAAAACGACATCGCAGTACACTGAACTGCAGCACGGAAGTTATTTGGGACACCATTTAACCTAGCAAAGGGATATGAATAAAGCACTATGAACTGAAGCAAAACTGTGATTAGGCCTAGTTGGAACATATCCATCTAGAAATCTTTGCGCAAGCACACAGGCACACAGAGTGTGTTTGCGCTCATTTGTGTTCTCTTCTGTGTCTCTGCGTGCTTGCGCAAAAATTTCATGAAGGAAGACATTATGAATGGATTGACCACTGTTTCTTGATTTTTAGGACAGTGTATACATGTTACAAGTTCTCAATATCATCAAATATCGCAAAATTAATATATGGCCTTGAGTTCAGCAAAGTTTACGTGTACGAAGAACTAGGCCATAGATTACATTTACGGCTTAATCACCAAGGACACCACACACCTTAGGTGAAAAAAAACAGCATAGATCCAAATAAATGCCCTGAGCTTTAAACCACACTAAGGCAACACTGGTTAAAATATGGCAAGTTTATTAAGAATTCACAACTCCACAAAGTAAGCTTTATTAATAACTTTATTCCCAGAAATGAGCGTGCCCACAAACATTCAAAAAACAGATGAAGGCGTGATAACTACTATGCACTGAACAATGGGTAGTTTTGATGAGATCCAATAAGAAAAAATGTAAAGACATATAACACCACTTCAATTGCCTACAGTGCACCCTCAAAAGTCCTAATAGACAACAAGTTGATGGATGAGAATGGACGAAAATATAGATGTGTTTCTGGTGATGCTGCCCTTTTCAAATGGTTCAAACGCACTCCATTTGGCCTTACCAGCAACCTATTTTTGCAAGTTGCATGGACATCGGTAAAAATGGCAGCGCAGTTGGTATCTAAGGTATTTCACCACCAACCCAGCACATCAGCTATGTGTGACTCGTCTTGCAAAGCTGCTAAGCTATTTTTCATAGTACTTGTAGACCAGCACACCTGTTCCCAGTAAGAGAACAAGGCCAATAGAGACGTGCTTCAGCAGACGCCCTCGCTGGGCCCAGGTTTCTGAAGAGCGCTGCTTCTGCCGCATGCGCTGCACCATCTGTGATGTGCGCTCCACCCTCTCCCGTCGTTGACGCCTGCGCAACTCTGCCTCCTCTCCGGTGCTGCATACAATACACGAGCATCATAAAGAGCACCTTCCTTACAAGCTAGCATAATCTAAGCAACCAGGACACAGCTAACAGCTTCTCTGCTTCAAGCTTGCAAGAACAGTTTGCTTTCAAACTCTGCATTACCAATTTCAGAACCTCCAAAGGCACAATGGCATCCTATAGCCAGAGGTATCACTAGCAATAAGTTTCTGCGCTAGACTACCTTTAATCGACCCGCAGAATCCTGCATAGTTTGCTACACAGTAGCATGCAGGCCAGGCGATTGAATAAGCATATACAGAAACACTACGGAGAAAATCATTTCACTAGTATTAGTAAATAACCCATCCATAATACCAAAAACACCACTCTTACCTCAAGAACATGCTTGGCAAAATGAAAATTGTGATTAAGTTTTTGTACCATTTCATCCAGATGTCATATATTTATTCTAATGCGCTGGAGCCCCCAGAGGTTCCTAAAATTAACTAGAGGGAACTAAAGGGCGCTGTAATTGTTCAGTTACTATGGGAATGATGGGTAGTACACGAATTTGTTTAGTCTTCATGCTTGTGGGCCTCGAACATACTTAGAACTCCCTTTACTACTGTGTTTTGGTTTTGTTTCGAATGAAAGGATTGACAGTTATAAACTTGGTGAGCCGATTCGTAATGGTGAGCCTAAAAGCTTGAAGTAGTGAAGTGCAATTGCTGAACATTTGCCTATTGTCGTTTCGGGACAAAGCACCTTCAAACCCCGCGAAGCCAGCCGGTGCCAAAAGTACGAAAATTAGGCAAATCCGTGTACTATCCATCATTCTCATGCTCGCTGAAGCGCTATGCACGACAGCTCCAATAGACACTAACGCCAGAGATCCCTCTAGTGTATTTATAGGAAACTGCTAAGGGAGAGGACATATCACAGCGCTATCTACTGTACGCACCTAAGAACTGCAGCAAGTTGGATCAATGAAGCGAGCGTTTGCTATAGTGGCACGCACCAATACACCACGCAATGTACAGCCGTGAAATCGCAGCCTGCTTTACGGATTATTTTTTACACTATAGTGTTCGACTAAGTTGTTAAGTATGCTGTATTACCAGACCTTGCTTGCCGTTCATTTCCATTTCTCATCCGTTTTTATCAAATTTTGCATGACACTGCCTACTTCAAATATTCTCTATAAGAACTGATGGTGATTCTACAACTTTAAAACACAGGCATTCATTAAAAAAACTAGTGGCTCGCTTCAGAACTAGACATGGTCCCCAACAGTAAATGCAGAAATACATTCATACCTTCAAAACTAATCAAACAAGAACAGTAATTCAACATCACTGAAAAACACAGAATGCCTGGTTGGTTAGTACCAGAGCATGCATGCTTTGCTAATTATTAGGTGTAGCCCATAGTAATTCACACAAATTTAAAGCGTCATTCCAACTATCTTTGTACAGGAACTAAACATTGTTACACCATTGCAATAATTACTTGCACAAAGCATCGCGACATACTGGGAAAATATTGACGGCTTAACTTTCAGAAAAAGATCTTTTCCGCGGCATTCTAGTGCTTTTTGTTGGCACAATTTTTTTATTGATCTGTTACTGTATATCTCATCTAAAATCATAGAAATTATAAAAACTTCTCTTAAGGTAGGTCACCACCTTTGAAAAAAAAAAAAAGTTTTCTTTGTGTTCAAATGTTATAAACAAGGTTTAGACTGGTAGGGCCTAGATAAATTAGGATCGAGAATGATGAAACTGCTAAAAATGTAAAAAAATTATGAACAATCAAAATGCGCTAAAATAAATGTTTGCATTAACGGACATACTACAAAATTTGTGGGTGCAATTTAATGAGACTTGGCCCGTACTACATTTAACCTCTACAATCACCATCTAAAAGCTACGGCGTGTTATCGCAAAAAAAAAAGCCCTGTAATTTTATATTTGGGAGGTTCGTTTGATGCACGATTCGCCATGGTACAAAAAGTTTCTGCTCGTTTTCATTAATTCTGCTTGTGTGCACAGTTCTACCTATAAAGAAATAGTAATAAAACCTGCACGAGTAAAGTTTATAAAGATTTGAATCGAATCTTCATATAAAATTAACGACATCTTCATAAAAATAACCCTGATGGAATGTGAAGCAGCAGCATTACACACGGGGATTCGACGGAGGGCGTGCGGCGCTTTCGAGACGTTGCCGACGACGTCGAGGATTCGCCAGCGTTGGCCTTCCACTGTCGGCGCTTTCACTCGGCAACCTGGACTCGCGTCTCGTTGGTGTTACCCCCCCCCTTATCTCCATTCTCGAACACAATCAACGTTCATGACTCACACCTCGTCTGTGTTGCACGACCAACGCTTGCATTCGGCTTCCCTAGCTCGCGCCTCGTCAGTGTTGCAACGACGTTGCCATTCGCAAAAGCGATCGGCTCTGCTAACTCTCGCAATGCCTGCGACGGCCAGATTAGGCCAAATCACTTCATGTTTCGGTAGGCGAAGGAGCTTCGCTTTCCGGCGTCCTCTCCTTCGCAGATAAACGAGCTGCAAGAGTGTTCACTCGATGTGCACTCGAACGTTGCGAGTGGTGAAGAGGGTGAAGCAAGAGAGAGGTGACACATGGTGAGCGAGCAGTAGGCAAGAGAAAGAATGACGTCGCTGCACACTGCAAGGGAAGGCGTGACCTACTTGGCACCGCCCCAGCCTCTGTGGCAAGGGGAGCGCGGAGGCATGGATGAACAGCGTTACACAGGCTAGTCAAAGAGCTGCTTCGCATCTAATAAAGAAACAGTCAATATGTCTGAAATTCACCACGATCATCGCTTGGGACATACATTAAAGTGGTACATTCTCCTTTTGAGTGAGCTAAAGCCCAAACTTCTTTTCTAGTTCATTTTGCATCTCTAGCAGACTTTCGTTCACGTATGTCACGGCAGGTACACGTTCGAGATATACATTTTAAACCTTGTGTTAAAGCTTCTGTTTCGTCCTATATTTGTTAGATTTTGCGGAGTACTATAACTATTCCTTTTAAAGGTCAGAACTAAGTCTACAAGGATGAGATAGTGTGTAGTACACATTTTAAAATTAATCGACATCCTGTCCCACAAGCTTCAGAATGTACTTAGACAACTTGGCATTATGCGATATGTCAAATAAAAAAAAAAAAACATTTATGACGATATGGCAGGCCTTGTGAAATCGGAAACATTCAGTATCAGTTTCGAGTGCATCCAAGGGGGATTGGAAAAATGGTCATAACATTCGAATGGCTCGAGATAATTTCATAATTCTCCTTCCTAAATATTCTTGAATAGACAAGAATTGTGAAAATGTCAAATAAAAAGAATTCCATTCCTTTTTTTCTTCAGGAAAATGGGTTTTTAAAGGTGGTGACTTACCGTTTTAGCACAATTTAATGCCCACAAAAATACTGAAACAAGTATATTTTACTAAATTTCTATTTCAAAAACTGTAATTAGTTTTACACATAGATATGTAGCAAATTTTTTACAAGCAACAGACAGTGCCAGAAAATCATAAATTGTTCACTGTTTTATCAGCACAGAGCAACACAGAGCAGTATATACAATTTATCTTCCTTCCTTTAATACAGCAAAAACAAAGACAATGAAATATTCAAAATTCTAATGGGGGCACATAGTGTTGGTGTTTTACATTATCTTGTTGACTAGCCTGATTTTGAGTGGTATTTGTACTACAGCATGGACAAACCTTCCTTATTATATGTCACACTAAAAGAATACATAGGTCACAGGCTGTTACTTTTTCATGACAAACTCCACCAAAAACACTAGAGCCAGCACTTCATGCACTCAGGCCTTGAAAAAAAAAACTTTACATACAATGCAGCAACAACGCAAAAGTGAAAGGCATTAAAGTTCAGAGATCAAAACTTAGCATTGAACTGTAGAAAATATAACTGATCTCTTTTACAACAAATACATGAACAACCTACGCAAGTGTATGTCTGCCGTTGACCGTCTACCTGTGAGCTTCAGGATGGACCTATGAGACAACAGAATATTGTGTTCCAGGGTTCCAGCAGTTAAAATTGTCTTCACACCCCTGGAACACAATATTAACTCCTAGTATAACAGTAGACAATTAATAACTAGAGTAGACAGTGTTCCCAAAGAACAACACAAAATTATGCCTACTAAAGCACATGAACATATGGCTCACTGCAAGCATGACCAAAATGAAGTAGTGTAACATAATCCAACTTACTACACCAAAACAGTGCCAGCCCTCACACACAATCTAATACTTTATCAGTAGATATAAATTCTCCAGGGAAGGCAGAGACATAGCATGACAGTTTTCAGGAGCTTTTTTTAAAAATGTGGTGCCATCAAACTTCTAGGCTAAAACAAGCCTCTTGTGGATTTCCTCTGTAAGCTAGGACACTCCTCCCTAACAATCAGACGCATCAAACATTTAGAAAATATCTTAATTCACCTCCAAAGAGTACCTAATGCTCATTCTCCCAACCGAAGTCCATTCCAAGTGTGCCCAGAACTGCCATAGCTCTGTACAAAGGGCGACGAAAGTTGCAGTGACGTCATACCAGATATGTAGTGAGCGTAGGCGTGCGCAAGTTTTCGCTTCACGGCGAAGAAAGGTTCATCGCAGTGCACCCCCTCCCTATTATATGAGTGCATGGGTGTGACTTCGAGCCCCCTTCTTAAATCACAGTACCCCCACCCTATTATGTCAATGTGTGGGACTGTGATTGCATCCCCCCTCGTGACTATGGGAGGGGCTGCCCCCTTACCCGCCCTCACGTATGCTTATTTTGGTGTTTTGTACCTAAAATCTGACAAATACCTATAATGCCTATTTTCAAAATCGGCCCTTACATAAATATTTATTTGGCCTCAATTTTCGTCACCAAACACAGTTCGAGACCTTTATTCATGTTACTGCACAAAATCAACTTAGAACTTTATGAGGCTCAACGAACTTTGAAACAACCGCTGG